ACTGTCCACGCCACAGATACCTGTAAATTTCTCTTATCTCCCGACAGTGTCGCCATCGTTGAATGAAAACCTAACTAAAAACCTTTGTCGCGATTCTTCCATTTGAGATATTTTTCTATAGGTGATATGTTCTGTGGTGATAATGTCAGGTTGACAAGGTTGGTGGTAAGTCCACCTGCTGTGCCGGTAGAGCAAAATTTTTAGTAATTTAAACTATGGCGCCATCTAGCACCCCAAAGCGGTACTACATAGTGAAGTAATCTATGAAGAATGAAGCGCCGAAATATAATTACATATATTTTGGCAAATATAGTTCAGGCTTTTTTTCGAAGATGGCGCCACCAGTCAATTAGGCGTTTTCGAAAAACCCGAACCGTTGGAGCAGCAGCTGATGTAGGTTGTTCAGCGTTTCCAAAAAAGCCTATTGACAACAGAACCTCTTTCTCACCTTGTGTATTTTGTTTTGTTTTTTATTATTGGTTTATAAAATAATAGGCACAAAGCATGCTGTGCCATTAGTTTCCATTGAAAATAAATAAAGTATCTATATATTTTACGTATCTAGGTATACATAAAAAAATTGGATCGTGTTTTGTAGGACAAAATGTCTTTGAAAAAATAAAAAGCTTCAATAATAATTATTAAAATTTATTTACAAAAGGTGGAAAGTGCTAAAATTAGAGTTTTTCCTTTGTGTTCTTGCATATTAGTGCGATAATAATATCCACCAATGCAGCAGAGCATTCAATTTAGGTATCTGGCGATTTGCATTTCTTTTACTCTAGCTCTTGGATCTTTTACCAATATCTGAAATTGTGTAAGACTCCTGGTAGGACTATTTTTTTATCATTCCTCCGAGTATTCCTCTATTTGTAAACCCATTCATGTGCCAATTGCTTCCTGAAAATCTCATAGGTACCTACCACAACTAAACATACCTCAAAAACAAGCTCTATAACAAAACATCACTTTTACAGAGTAGAACAAAATTTGAAGTCATACGAGGCATGGAAAATACAAATCCCTCCATAATCACATTAGCCAATCAGTGCGAACTGAGTGAAAAAAGTTGCACTGATTCTGTAAATTGAAATCGCTATAATATTTAATGCTCCACTGTAAAAATGCTCTCATCTTGGCGCCATCTATTAGTACATTAAAATACAAGTTTCATAAGACGTCATTTTATCGCACGAGCCCTATATTAGAAAACGAGCCGGAGGCGAGTCTTCTAAAGGGCGAGTGCGATAAAATGTCTTATGAAACGAATATTTTATACTATTTTTTCTATTTTGGTATTGTTTAATTAAAAAAAAACAAATTTTTCTTGGAAACTTTATTCTCATATTTCCTGATTTCATGTTTAGGTTGGTAACATTACATGCCAAATATAGAAATCTTCTTTTTTATTTTTATTTTTACCATAATAAAATCGCAAATGACAGTTCGATGGCCATCAGTCAGCCAGTGTTACAAACTTCCGATAAGTAAAAAAGGAGTGTCACAAAGAGCTTCTTTTCGAAACTACTTTTAGTGTCGAAAAGACTTCGATATGGAACCAAAATAGAAAATAGTACATTAAAATACACGTTTCATAAGACGTCATTTTATCGCACGAGCCCTATATTAGAAAACGAGCCGGAGGCGAGTTTTCTAAAGGGCGAGTGCGATAAAATGTCTTATGAAACGAATATTTTATACTATTTTTTCTATTTTGGTATTGTTTAATTAAAAAAAACAATTTTTTCTTGGAAATTGTATTCTCATATTTCCTGATTTCATATGTTTAGGTTGGTAACACTACATGCCAAATATAGAAATCTTCTATTTATAAAATCGCGAATGACAGTTCGATGGCCATCAGTCAGTCAGTGTCACCAACCTCCGATAAGTAAAAAAGGAGTGTCACAAAGAGCTTCTTTTCGAAACTACTTTTAGTGTCGAAAAGACTGCGATATGACACCAAAATAGAAAATAGTACATTAAAATACAAGTTTCATAAGACGTCATTTTATCGCACGAGCCCTATATTAGAAAACGAGCCGGAGGCGAGTTTTCTAAAGGGCGAGTGCGATAAAATGTCTTATGAAACGAATATTTTATACTATTTTTTCTATTTTGGTATTGTTTAATTAAAAAAAAAAAACTTTTCTTGGAAATTTTATTCTCATATTTCCTGATTTCATATGTTTAGGTTGGCAACACTACATGCCAAATATAGAAATCTTCTATTATTTTTTATCGCGAATGACAGTTCGATGGCCATCAGTCAGCCAGTGTTACCAACCTCCGATAAGTAAAAAAGGAGTGTCACAAAGAGCTTCTTTTCGAAACTACTTTTAGTGTCGAAAAGACTTCGATATGACACCAAAATAGAAAAAATTTTTTTTAGAACGAAAATATAGTTTGAAGGGGGGGCCGTTGAGGCCTTAAGGCTCTCTCAAACCAACGCGGAAAATTCGCAACACCTACGAATATTCGCACCGCAGACGATTCGCAACAAATCGTTTTCACAAGTTCAAACTGGTGCGGTTTTCTCCGGTTTGGCTGCGATTTATCTGCGTTTTTATCCGCACGGAAACTCGGCAATCGAATGCGTTTTTTGTCAGATTAAAGGCTCTCTCAAACCAACGCGAATTATTCGCAGCGGATTCGTGACGGAGAATCTGCAGCGAATTTCATGGCGGATTCCGGAGAAAGATCCACACCAAAGCGAACATAATCGCATCATTTACGTCATATTTTTCAGTTTGCAATTTGCTTGCTGAATGCAAGTGATAAAGACAAATTGTTTCCTTGCCTTAAAAAAAATGTATCTATCATCGGATTAAGAAGAAGCAATATTGTTCCTTGCAGTGCATATTTAATGATTATTTCCATGAATAAATAATGTGATAAGTTTCAAATTACCATTTTCGCCTTGTTCTTTTCCTAGTTTAGTACAAACCTTATCCTTTTTGCGCACATTTTTATAGTCTTCCTGAGAAAGGTCATATAGTATAGGGTACTTTCGAACTAATTCAGTAATTTGTTCCATTTTGATTATTTTTCACTTTAAAACGTTGCGGAATTACTGCAAATCGGACCAAAAACGCAGTCGATTGTGAACTGAGTTTCCGTGCGGATAAAAACGCTGATAAATCGCAGCCGAACCGGAGAAAACCGCGCTAGTTTGAACTTGTCTATTTACCGCAGTGAAAACAATTTCTTGCGAATCGTCTGCGGTAGAGAGGAAATTAGAAAGTTTATGCTATAAGTATAAAGTACACGGCTTTTATTGTTTGGTTTCAACAAAAATTCAACATAGCGTTCAGCAGAATAACAATTGCGAAGCCTTTATCAACGTTTGTATCTGGTGAACGCAGCCATGCCATTTGTTTCTCTGTTTGTCAAAAAACACAAGGTTGTTATAATGCAAGGATGATATACACCTACAGGATTGCTTATCAGCCTTGTTTTTGGTAATCGCTGCCATATTGTCTCCATTTCCGACGTCATAACTAAGTCGCCACCTGCCTACGTCAAGGCGAGAAATAACATGCTGCCTACGTCACAACTGGTGATTTGGCGCAGGGCCGGGTGGGAAGGGGGGGATTTGTTCCACACAGCCTTATAAGGATAGGCTATCCTGTAGTAACAGTGTGTATCATCCTTAGTTATAATGATTTAATTTTTGCATTTCCTAATATCAAAATATAGAGCAAAGCATGGTTGCTATCTTGAAATATTGATAATCATAATCCATAAAAAACACTGCAAGTTTCCCATCAAGTCCATGCATTCAATGATGAATGATGTATTTACATAAGTAAGCGCAATAATAAAGGACTGCAGCTGACGTCACCTCCAGCGGAAGTTTTCGCATTCTACCATTGTACTTGCGGATAGCTGATTTGGTGGGTATTATAAAACTGCTTTGACAGTTAACTTTTTGAATTACACGTATTTTCAAAAGTTAACTCTCAAATTAGTTTTATATTACCCGCCCTTAGCCGATTCGTGTGTTCTTAACCAACTTCTGGTTCGTAACGATGCGTCTACGGTTCGAATTTGCCTTCGACTTGGAAACTTTTAGGTATCGGATGTTCGTAATCCGGCCCCTCATAGTGGTCACCCGCAGGACCTCGATGAAATGCTTGCGATTCAGGCTGTGCTTCATTAAATCAATTTTTTCTCGATTTTAAATGTAGAAAAGGCGATTTCAACGTTTTTATGGCCCAAAATGTTTTAAACTTGGATAATGCATTTTTTGTCAAGAGTTGAGGTCTGCGACTGATGTCACAAATGAAATCCGCGTGTGGCAAAATTCACCAAAATGTTGCACGGTGATTACGAGTTAATGCCAATGTCCAACCACAGCTTGCCAAACACCGTTTAATTTAACAACACGTGGTATAAGCAACCCTTGTCCTACCAAGAAAAAATAAATAAAAACTTGTGTCGACATGGCGTGGTTCCAACGTTTCCTGTCATAAACTGAAAACGTCTGAATCGGGTGACCGGAGCAAATAGTGCAAGCTCTTAATCGTTCGGGTACAACCAGATCAGAGTGTCGAGTGAAAAGAGTCAACTCTAAAACAAAAATAGTTTTTTCTGGGAAAAGAATTACTCAAAGCCTCTGATTAAATTCCGTCACAACACTGATGCACAAATTACTAATTAGGGTTCGACTCAGACTGTTTATCATTTTATACTCCACTAGTTCGGGTATTTGTTTTCGGAGTGAACAGAACAAGAATGTTTTTGTTCGGGTATTCACTCGGAGTAACAAGGGTATTTCAAAAGTTTCATTTCACGGGATAGAGCACATTTGAAAACATAAAATTGGTAATTTTGCTTCATTGCCACTTGACCAAAATCAACTTTATTTCTGATTTCTGCACTGCAACGCTAGCCTGTGTACAATCCTGAACCCAGCATGGGTAATTTTTTTGTTTAATATTTAATAATCAGTAATCACGTTGGTGACGAACTGGTTGCTACTAAGGGCGCGTTTGGGTTCACGCTCGGTGCACTCAGAGCTTGCACTTTTGTCTCTTTTCCGTAATTTTTGAAGCTCCGACAACGCTTGATCGTGTTTGGTTTGACATATTTTGAGCGCTCAGAGCGAGATCGATAAACTCCGAGTTTGTGGGGTGGGCAGCTGCAATTTAATCTGTCTGTATAACCTATTTTCCATGATAAGATAAATAAACAATCCTATTTTGTTTAAATGTTGACAATCAAATAGCTAGTAAATTCTGCATAATTGTTTACTTTTAATTAAATTTTCTCGATAGTCCTCATCACTGGTATTATTGAACATTTTTTTCCAAGGGAACTTGGCAGTCTCAGAGTGTTTAGGTCCGTTTTATTGTTTATGTAGCAATTCAAAGATGTAGCACGACATTTTTTGCAGAATACAAAAGAAAATGGGGCTGTTTGAAAATTATCGACTTAAATGCAAAACAAACGAGAAAACTCTGGTTTAAATGCGGAATGCGGGCCCAGACCCAAAAAATATATGCTAAGAAAAATAAACAATAATCAGCTGATCGCTCAACCCCTAGCATTTTTGCACAAGTTTATTTGGCTTGACACGGTGTACTCCCTGTGACGTCACGTTACTCCGTAATCGCTCTGCTCGCTCCGCCGAGCGTCAACCCAAACCCGCCCTACAGTGTTGCTGTTACTATTTACAAGATTTTATTTGTGCCTTCGTTAACTGCTTGTTCACTATTATATTTTTGTTTAGGTTGGCGAACCTGTTTGTTTACTTGGCTCGGGGAATTACTGAAAAAGTGTTATTGTCGGGGAGTTCCTTGATTATCGGTGATGGGATGGACCAAGCATTTACTAGAAAAGTACCTTAAAATTTCCTCCAGTCTTCAACTTCATTCGCAAGTGTATTCATCCTGCGTTACAAATTTTATTTCTTCTCTACATCATGAATAAATGGGTAATTTTCCAGTGGGCTCCTGTATATTGGAGCAAACTGGATGGCGACGAAACTACTCTTACCTATGGCAGTGAGGAATATCAGCAGATAGCTTTCGAAGTGAGGCGTGTAATTTGTAATTACAGCAAACCCATTGGAAGAATTGTAAGGATTCAAAATGTTTTTGATTTGGCCCAATGTCTTGTGAGGGGACAGTTACTGACTACTGCTAGTCCAATGGTTCCATTGTTTAGAGTAAGTATATAATATATTAGGTGGCCTGTGCATTAGAAGTTGTCCAATTTGCAAGTGGATTAGTATTCCACCTGCAAGCTAATGCACAGCTACGTATTTCACCCTGTGTTCCTGTATAAGGTTATTGAAAAATGGAAGTAGGTAACCTCTAATTCAGCATAAAACTTTCCTCACATCACAAATAAAGTTAGACAATAAACACACCACTAAATTTTCTGTCAAAAGCTTCCAGGTAATTTTTACTTCTTATTGGTTCTTGTGCACTTCAGGTTGCCCTTTGAATGTCAAGAATATACAATATACAATCTTTGATAACTACTTATATCTAACATAGGAAGAAAAGTAGATAGGTACCTCAGGAAAAAAGCTCCAAAAGGAAACATTTTAAACACACCCTAGCATGCTTGCTTTGCTTATTTTTTGGGTATAAACACAGCATAATAATAGTAGAGTGATTGCACATTTCAATTTTCTAGAAATCCGATAATGATCAAAAGTTATTCTTTGTAATAAAATTCAGTATTTTTCAGAATCATTATTTTGTCTTTGGCAGTCATTGCAAAATAATTATTTCGTAATTAAACTGAGTGACAAAGGGTTCAGGATAAGGAAACTTAAGTTTTTTGTCTCATTTTCTGGAAAATAAGGGATAATATAACCTGATGAGAATGGATATTATTCATTGGTTGTGTTATTAGGGTTTATAGAGAGGATCTGATCAGCTGTGAATTGGTATTTCATCCCCTTTGATTCTCAAGCATCAAAATCAAACCAGCCTTGGCAGCAACGCAACTAAAATCTGTTTTTTTTTAAAGATAAAAGTCAAAATGAGATTATGTTGGCAATACAATGTAAAATTGTCAATGCTTCAAATTTTTTATGTAGAAAAGGCTTGTGTTGCCAACATAGTTACTAAATTTTTGACTTGGGGAATTATCTTTAAAAAAAAAACAGACTTTAGTTTCCCTTTCATAGAAAACTGTCAGAAATCTGAATGACAAAGACAAAGTCACTTTCGTGCTGTGCCTTTGTGAAAATTATGGCTCATCCCTTGCCTTTGTCTGTATTATAGGGTCAAAAGAAATTTGTTTTGAGTGTGTTTGAATAACTGTAAAAATGATTAATTGAATAATTTATCTATTAAAGATATCCAACAGCACAATAAAGCTGATAAGCTATCGCAATTTATTTGCTTGAAGCAATGACTCAGAAAGTGCAATCGAGATAAAAAAAAATGCAATTTGCAAATCCTGTTATAAGATATTTTTTTGAAGGTCAGACTTAAACTTTATCATATAAAAACCATTAAATTACTGAAAATAGAATCACAGAGGAAACACATTTTTTAAAATGGTTAATTGTTTGAATATTTTTAAAAAGTTGCCCTGAAACTCATTTTTTTTTTTTAAATAATATTTATCTAATCTGTCTCTTTCAGGTGAGACGTTTTATCAAGATCCATAAGGACCATTTACCAGCTGCACTCCAATGGAACTTGGACCATAGACGGTGCAATAACTCAGAAACAGTATTTAAAGAACTCATTCCATCCAATGATTTTTCTCCTGGAGAAATCCTGCTTGTTGTACAAGTCTTAACACAAAACCCACATGCCGCTGAAATACGTCCAAACACTACTTTGGAGTATTTTATTGATTATGTTGTTTATTTTTAAGTATTATTGTTCGACTTATCAGAACCAATCATGGTTCACCTTAAGGGATCAGATTGGTCTTGTGCCTTGATTATTTTTTATATTGGAATTTAGTATTACATTAGGTTTAGAAACCTATATTTGTTTATGACATTTATTGTGAGAAAAAATAAGTGAGACTATTTTAAGTTTACATACAGGGTATTATGAATAAATACAAAATTTTCTATTTGGATGTTTTTATTAGTTGCAATACAATACACTACAGATATAAATCAAAAATACAATTTCTATTTAGAAAAAAAACAATATTTTTATACACGAAGTACATCAATCCAGTAAATAATAAAAGCTGTATGTGTTGGTTTAAACTTTGTAATATATGTGTTCTTGTGTTTACTTTACTTTGGTGGTACTTGGTACTTCAAGGACTCTAGGAAGGCAGTGGTACTACCATTGAAATGGTACTACCCACAAAGTGGGGTAATTTCTTATAATTTGTTTTCAAGGAAATAATAATGCATACATACATAATTTATTGATACTTCTGCTTTTTCCTCTATAAAGTTTTGTTTTTGTTAAAAAATATTAGGCGAGTTTTGGCGTTAGCCGGTTAACGAAAACTAGTTATAACGCGGTAACAAAGTGATTAGGATAAGGTCAGCGATATAACCAGTTAGTAACCAGACGCCAAAACGCTTTTCGTATTTCTCAACCAAAACCAAACCGGGAAAATCTATTTTGCTGATCAGCAAATTGCTGATAATGCAGTTTTTGGCTGGATAAGCAATTTAATCGAATGCCATCAGTTTGTAAAGTTGTGGTCAGTTAGTAGAAGTGATGTGAGCCATGCAAACAATTGCCGCCTCCGTCCGCATCCATTGCCGCCCCCAGTATAAAAAATACGCTGATTTATTCAACTTTCAATCCGCTTTGATGCGGTCACTTAAGATGGGTGCTGTCAACATCGAAAATCATATGTAGAAAATGACCGCCGCCGACCGTTGCCGCCCCCAGAATCAAAAAAACGCCTGATGTATTGAATTTTTAATTCGATTTGATGCGGTCACTCAGAAAGGGTGCTGTCAACATCAAAAATGATATTTAGAAGATGACCGCCGCCGTTTCCGCCCCCCAGAATTAAAAATACGCCTGATGTATTGAACTTTCAATCCGATTTGATGCGGTCACTTAGGATGGGTGCTGTCAACATCGAAAATCATATGTAGAAAATGACCGCAGCCGTTGCCGCCCCCCAGAATCAAAAAAACGCCTGGACGGCTATTCTCGAAATCGGGGAGCTCGTTTCTCATGAGAAAATTGTACAAGTTCTCACGGAAGTACAAAATAGGTATTCTTGAAACTGTGAACAGCTCCTTTTCTACGAACGGTGAGAGAACTTACTTCCACTGGTCTCAGTTAGGAGAAGTGAAGTTCATCCATATTTTAACCTATAACTTATAGTGAAAAGTGACGTGTGTGATGTCATTGGTTTTTATGTTTTGTTGAGAACATGAATTTAAACGAGGTAATAGGCCCCTTGCATCAAATTTTTTTATTGCTGATTTTGATAGTCCATGAAAAATAAATCAACACGAGTTTTTTCTTTTTTTTCTTCAGTCAAAAATTGACGGAGATATAACGCTATGAAATATGCCTATGACGTCACTTATCATATTAATTAGTGACGTCGCACATGCTCAGTATATCTATATATAGGGTTTCCATAAAGGTTTTTCGGAATCCAGGACAAAGGCGGCAAGAAATCCGGACAAAATCCGGACTTCGCCAAAATAGCTATTGAAAGTGTGTAAAGTCAGTAAAGTGAAAGGTGAGCACGACAACATTCACCCGATGTTTCGACATCGATGTTGAAATTTTAAAACATCGATGTTATCATCGATGTTGGCTGAAAAAATCGACAATAAGAAAAGGGTTTAAAGATAAATTTTACTTGCACTAGTTTTGCAAATGAAAATCGCTACGCAGGTCTCATAGCGAATTACTAAAATTGCATACAAATTCTTGGTAGTTGTGGCCATCTCACCTCAGTCTCATCGGAACGCCTGTTTTCCAAAGCTGGAAAAATGGTCACACAACAAAGAAACAGGATAAAGGATAAGTTATTGTCGAAATTACTTTTTCTTCAAGGTATCGACAAAAGTTACTGGGACATTTTAACCTTAAATTTACCTGAATATTCTATTCTACATACTATTTTGTTTAGACTGTAGGAAACGTGATTGTTTTTATTAACTTAACAAGAATAAACTTTTTTTTTCACTTTATTATTAAACGTTCTGTTAAAATAGAAATTTTCCATGTTTTCTCTATGTTACCCTCAAAACATCGATGTTTGTAAAATATCGATGTTTTCACTTCGATACATCGGTTGCATCGATGTTGAAGTATCGATGTTACCATCGATGTCCAACATCGAAATCTGTGCTCGATGTCGCATCCCTAGGACCGAATGCTTGACCAATGACACATCAGCTGCTCTGTGTCTTTTCCGAGGTTATGTTGTCTGAAATGTCAGAACAGTTTTGTTCCGATTTCTGACTTGAACTTACTCTAACTCATTATACTACACCTCCCTTCTTAGCTAAACTAAAATAATAACTTAAAGCTAAACTTAACTAATAATTAACAAAGATACAAGGGATACAAACAAAGATATCAATATTTACATAAAGGTCATTATTTAAGTATTTTGGTCAAGTACAAAATCTGAGTCTTTTATTATTTAGATTTGCTTTACATTCAAATTTAGGAATTTCTTTTGAGTCACTGTCTTTCACCATGAATTTTCTGTTTCGTTCTATTACACTACCGTTATGTCCGTTATCCAGTTTCACAATATAAGCCCTAGGTTTTTTAGATTTTTCAATAATTTTACCAGACAGCCATTCCGATTTATCTTGCTTTTGGACTCGTACACCCTCACCCTTATTTAAAACTGGCAGAGATTTAGCATGTATATCAAAATTTGACTTTTGCTTGTGTTGGTAATTTTTAAAGCGTTTTACAATACTATTGTTTTTTTCACAGAATATTTACAGATTAATTATTGTTATGACCGATTAATTAGGTCTCGAGAATACTCACATTGTGCTATGAGAGAAATCAAATGGGAAGTGAACTAGTCATTTCACATGCAAGTTCACTTCTAGTTCTCACGTCGTCAAGAATAGCCGTCCAGATGTATTGAATTTTCAATTCTATTTGATGCGGTCACTTAGGATGGGTGCTGTCAACATCGAAAATCATATGTAGAAAATGACCACCGCCGACCGCAGCCGTTGCCGCCCCCCAGAATCAAAAAAACGCCTGATGTATTGAATTTTTAATTCGATTTGATGCGGTCACTCAGAAAGGGTGCTGTCAACATCAAAAATGATATTTAGAAGATGACCGCCCCCGACCGCCGCCGTTTCCGCCCCCCAGAATTAAAAATAAGCCTGATGTATTGAACTTTCAATCCGATTTGATGCGGTCACTTAGGATGGGTGCTGTCAACATCGAAAATCATATGTAGAAAATGACCGCCGCCGACCGCAGCCGCCCCCCAGAATTTACAAAAACGCCTAAAGTATTGAATTTTTGATCTGATTTGATGCGGTCACTCAGAAAGGGTGCTGTCAACATCAAAAATGATATTTAGAAGATGACCGCCCCCGACCGCCGCCGTTGCCGCCCCCAGAATTAAAAATACGCCTGATGTATTGAACTTTCAAGCCGATTTGGTGCGGTGACTTAGGTTGGGTGCTGTCAACATCGAAAATCATATGTAGAAAATGACCGCCGCCGACCGCAGCCGCCCCCCAGAATTTACAAAAACGCCTAAAGTATTGAATTTTTGATCTGATTTGATGCGGTATTCGAATATTCGAATAGTCGAATATTCGAATAGTCGAATATTCGAATAGTCGACTATTCGAATATTCGAATATTCGACTATTCGAATTTTCGAATATTCGACTATTCGAATATTCGACTATTCGAATATTCGACTATTCGAATATTCGACTATTCGAATATTCGACTATTCGAATATTCGACTATTCGAATATTCGAATATTCGATTATTCGAATATGCGACTATTCGAATATTGGACTATTTAACAATGCAATTACTCACTTTTTGATTTGAACAATTTGAAATTTCAATTGTTTCAATATTTGAATTTGAATGATACAATATACGACGTGTTTTCGGTGAAAATCAGCTTTCAATTAATACAATGCATTTTTGTTCGTAATGTAGATTTAACCCTCTGTAAATTTGCCATTTAGAAAACATCTAAATTATTTTAGTTTTTCTGACTAAGACTCTGCATAAAAAATCAAAAATTCGCTTCCGCCCCTATTCACCAAAATCAACTTAGCTATCTGATAGCTGTCAGTCTGTTAACATTTATCAGTCGGATAACAGCAAGTGCTATTCACCAATAAAAATGGTCCTTCTGACAACAGACTGATAAAAATAAAAATCCATATATTCTATGAACAGTTTTTTTCTTCATTTCATTTAACAACCTCAAAATTTGTCTGTATTATACTTATTTATTAATAATAGCTTTTCTTGGGCTGTGAAACAAGTAAACAACTTCCTAATCCTAATAATTTGTCTAATAATAATTTATTATCGTATACGAATACCAAATGGAAAAAGAAACGGAGCAGCTTTCTGGTCGCGAAAAGGAAATTCTAATTTCTTCGGTTGAGAAATATTTAATCGGGAATAAGAAAACCATAACCAATACAGTACAGTTTGTTGTGATTGTTGTGAAACATTGAAATGGTCACCGCAATACAAAATTGAAAAGACCCGGTTGCAATTAAAATCTGATTCTTTTTAGTTTATTTCTTTCGTCCGCAATGGCTCTAAGACTAGGTTCAGTGATCAGAGGTTTATTTTCAGCCTTTGAAAGCTATTTTTGTTTATTCTGAATCTTTTATGAAACTCCAAATCATCCAATTCAGTGAATAAATCATTCTTGCCCTCACATTTCTGGGCCTGGGAAGATCTTCATCTGATATATGGATTATCCAATGAACCTCCAAAAAAATTCAGGTTAATTTCATCCATTCTGTTCATTTTGCCAAAAAATAAATCTTATAAAGTACCTACCACAAATTAAAATTTAACGAACCATCCATTCTTTCCAATTTATGGATACATTCGATTTTTTTTTGAAAAAAAAAAAAACAATAACACTTATCAGA